TAAAAATCAGCTCACATCTACAACATATTTTATAACGGTACTTATGACCCATATAAAATTCTAGAATTAAGTCTCTTTAAGGTTTAAATTTCAGCACCCCGAGGTAAGAAACTGAAGAGTTGAAAACTCCACTTTATCACTTGCTCTCCCCTCCCTATTGTACTTGCACCTAACAGCAGTGTCTGGCTTTTGCCAGTCTTTGTTGTGCAATACTTTATACTGTGCACATGTCACCTGCTAATGAAAAAAAAAAAAAGCACTTTTCAATCTAGCGCATGAAAGACTTCAAGCCCAACTTTATAACAGAAGATCACTCAGCTGTGATCACTAAAATTTAGTCTAAAACATGCATAAAGGCTGTGGGCCCCAGTCCTACACTTTTGACAGCATACATGCTTGGGACAAAATCATCAGACTGCAAAAGCTAAACAACAATCATGGGAACCTGTGAGAGCATTCAAAACTCAAAGTAAGTCAGTGGAAAATGTGTGGAGAAACCCTGACTCCTGCAGCGCTGGCTGAAGGAAGCATTTAAAATAGTTTTGCAAAACACAGTGCATTGAAATTGCTTCTCGGAGCAAAAACACAAAGTGCAATCCGCTGAGCAGTGACGCAAGGGCAGGCAAGGAGCAGTCGGTTAACGCCTTTGCTTCTGTTTGGGATGGTCAGGGTGGGTTTGTGTGCCGAGCTGAGTCTCACTGCTCTGGTCCCATGCAGGACTGCCTGAGTTCCCCCTTCTCCGCCTGTCCTGCAGAGAATGGGGCACTGAGCAGGGATGAGGGGTCTGCTGGAGTTGGGGAGCTGTTTCTCCTGCCTGCAGGAGCAGGAGGATTTCTGAAGGGCTAACCTGTAGCCAAACTGGTACCCAGTAGAGCCTGATGACTTCTGCCTCTGATGTGCTTTGCCCATCCTGTCTTGCCTGGATGTAGCAGATGAACGCCTCATTATCAGATTCCTCTACTTGCTTCCCGGTAGACTTAAATTACCATGTTAAATAGGATAATAATAAACACTGGCCTTTAACTACAGCACATCCTTGTTCACTCTGCATCCTCCCTCTAATCTGATAAAGGGTCTGTGAAAGGCTACTAGGAAAGCGGGAGGCAGTTGTTTCTTGGTGCCTTTCCCCTGCTTTCTGGCATGAGATTGCTGCACAAGCAGGCTCGGCCTCACGCGGCTAGTTCGGGGGGTTCTCGATCCCTGCAAGAATTAACAGGTGTGGAAACAGAGGCAAGGCACAAAAACGACATCGCAGCTCTGACCCGAGACACTTCTGTTGCATCTCAATGGGGGAAAGTAGCCCTGAGCCATCTGCCTGTTTCAGCACTGCAACTCTAAAACAAAAGCAGTAAGGGAAATCTTTCCAGCTTATAAGAGCAGCAGGGAAGGGGAGAAACCTTGGTGGCACTGGATTCTGCCTTCACATCGAGCTTGCTGCATTTGAGGGTCTTACAGAAGCTCTTTTTAATAACTACCCTGAAAAAGTCATCTATCCACCCAGAATAAATTATACAAAGGGAGCAAGCTGGACTGGGAACAGAGACAGCTGATCTGCCGAGACTTTGAATCCCCTTAGCCCTCAGAAGCTGAAAGTGCCATTTATTTCAGTGCTGCAGGATTTCCTGCCAATTTTTTTTTGTGTGTGTGTATTTAGTTTACCTAATCCCCCGGATTTCTCTTGCTGTAGAAAGAGGAAAAAGTCTTACAAAACAACAGGGGATAAACACATAAAGTCAAATTACTTTGCTGAGCTCTTTCACACATCCAAAAAGAACCAGAGAACTGCAGGCTCTGAAAAGCAAGATGAGTTTCTTACTTAAGGAGGATATTTGACCATCACCCATTGAAATGCAGCCATTCCTGTGGCATAAGATCCAATTAACGAAGCTGCACAGCAGTGGTATTTCTGTGGAAGTAATGTGGCTTTCCTCTATTTTTTCCAAAATGAGTAAAACTTGGCTTTCTACCTCTCTTCCTCCTCTTCCTCCAGCTTCAGCTTTGCGGAGCTGGCAAGTAGTACAAGTAGGAAAGAAATGAAGTAGGCCGTCTGTCGTTGGAGGGTATGAAAGGCAGCCTTAATAACAGCGGGAGAGAGAGAAGCAGCCGATGGTTATTTTTGACAGAATCGGGAGAGACTCAGATTGCAGCTTCATAAACAGCTCATCAGAGAAAAAGCCTGCGCAAATTGGAGAAGCCCCCTTGGCCAAGCTAACAGAAATACACAGCCCTCGTCTGGTACAAGAGAAATCTTTCGAAAATCAAAATGCCTTTCTTCAAAGGAAAGGACCAGCCCCACGTGGCATAGTAACACTAACTTGCATTTTCATCATTGTAATTCATGGCTTGAAGAATATTCAGAAAAAAAATATCTGAGTGATATCGGCCTGTGAATGTCCAGCATGACACAAAGCCACGGCCACGCAATGAAATGGAAGAAGGACTTTTTCCACTGCCACCCTGCCCCAGCATCCCTTTGACGCACTGTTCCATGAAGCTGGAGGTGATGCAAAGACAGTGGGCAGGAAGCTGCCTTGGATTACCCCAATCCATCTAGCTCAAGTGAAATAGAAAAGGTTGTTTCGTGTGGCTGTTTGCACAGAAGGAGGGCATGGAATTCACCCACAGCCCCTCAAAAAAGCCCAAACTCAGCTTTATTAAATAAAAAACATTTACATGGCATAGGCGATGCATTTCTCATGCACTGTGATGACAAGAAGGCTATCAGACATTTTTCAGGGCTTTTTTTTGGTTTATAACAGAACCTTAATCTCTCACACAGAATCCTTTGTGCTACTGGATTAAGAAAATACAAATCGTTCCTAGTCAAGAGATACCCACACGAAACTCAAGAGGTTTCTATATCTGGCAACCTTGCTGGCAGCCTCAGCCAGGAGGAAGGACAGAGCCAGCATGGAGATTCACTGCTCCAGAGCTTCCATGGGAAAGGCTGACCACTGGGGGAGCTCGCTGCTGTGTCAGGGAAATATAAGTCTGAAGGTTATTCTGTCTTTCTTGAGGATTAATTTCATTTGCTTATTAAAACATATAATGTCTGAAGTGACATAAAAGCATCATCTTGGAGTGGCTGAAAAGAGTTTAAGCAAAAAAATACCAAAACAACAAAACAACCCAAACCCATCTTTCAAAATGAATATTGAACATGGGGACTACAAGCCTTCATAATTAGTCTACAATGATTTGCATGACCTGTGCTTAATCCTCATGCCTCCCAGCTGCCTGACAGACAGGTACGATGTAACGGGAAACACCACAGAAACGGTAATCAATGACTTTCTTCTGTCTAACCACAATATCATTCCCACTTCATTTACTGCTTAGTGGGAAGGCATTTCTGTGGCCCAGGAATCTGTTCTTTCTAAATGGGCGAGTCTCAAAGTTCAGTATTTCAGTGGTTTAAACTAAGTAGGAGTTTGCTCATCCATAGCAGCCTGGACTGCTGCAAATCCAGTTGCCTGACCTCTTAATACCATCTTCTATCCAGCATTACAAGAAAAAGACACTTGGCGAGGGTGCTGTGCTAACGTAGCAGGGGTCTGCATGCTCAGCTGCATCAGTTCTAGGGAATGGAGGGAGCTGGAAGCAGAACTGCATTGAAACACTGCAACAAAAAATACTTTCTGCTTCTGTGGTACTAGTGGGCGAGAGCAGTTTGGTATGGGACTTGCTAAGCAGCAAGGTACGGTGACATGAAGCCCTTCCCTGATGCTGGTGTGAAACCAAGATAAAAAAGTGCCACATGTAGGCAAACCAAAATGAACTAATATCACTCAAAACACAAGAACCTTTAAACTGGGGCAGCAAAGAGGAGACCACCAAGAAGATCCTCAGCCACATACTGGGGCAAGGAGGAAACGCTGAGTCTGGGCAGCGCTTTGCACAAAAGTGCAGGAGCACCCGAGCTGTGCTGCGTGCTGCATGCGACAGCAATAGCCTCTCGCTGAACTGGAAACCTCAGGAGTGCTGCTTTGCACTGGTAGCGAGCTGCTAGCCCACAAAATCGTTTTATGATATTCTCCATAAAGGTTTTTAGAAGCAGTGGTAGGAGAGGACTAAGAATGAATAACTACTGAGTAATCTCACAACGCACGCACAGCTGGCTGTACCTCTGAGCTGTGCTAATTATTTGCAATGCTAGCAATAATTTAATACACGAAACTGGAAAAACTCAAAGTGTAAATGGAAGTATACTATGTAGAGAGAAAAAGCATTGTGTGAAACAAAATATTCACTGTAAGTCTACATGCAAGCCTATGCTATACTTACATAACTATAGTACACAGAATTGTCACATGCCTAAATATGCATAGGCATACAGTTAAAGAAAGCAAAGGACAAATACTTTATACGTGAGTGAAAAAATGCAGAAAGAAAAAAAAAACACAAAGCCTTTTCTTTTAGAAAAACACTAGTGCCAAAAATCAATCCTTTAACATGACTGCAAAAAAAAAAAAAAAAAAAAAAAAAAAGAAATCAAATTTTTGAAAAAGGACAGGGCGACTGTTTTTTAATTTTTATTGCCTCTGGAGCAATGATGTAGCAAGAGCCCACTGCTACCCTTTCTCCCCTTCTGTATCCTGAAAATTATTCCCACCTGGGGTGCAAAGAGAGGAAACGAAAGGAAGTAGAAAATTATATTTTTCATGAGCTAATCCTGGGAAAGTGACCGTTCAGGTTTCCATGTCTCTTGGCAATAATAATTTAAACAAGGACGGCAATCTTTTGTTATTTTTTGCACAGTTGGAATGCTCACTTCCAGATAACAGATATTTAAACTGCAATTTAAGAAGAAGAGGAAGACAGTAATCGATAGGTATTCAGGAGTTCTCTCCTCTTAGGACTGCTGCATAGCTTGACACAGTATGCTTCAAAACAGCCCAGATACAAACCTCTCTGTAAATCCTAAAACAAAGTGAGACCATTGAAAAAAAAAAAAAGAAGAAAAAAAAAGCCTGAAAGCAAACAGAGTACAACTACTGTACCTTTACTTTGGGGAGGGTTCTGACTTCTGTCTCGGAGAACATTAATCTGGTAGACAGCTCCGTAAGGCTCAAAAAGTTCTTTTAACTCTTTTTCCGACCATGAACGGGGAATCTGTCCAACAAACATCTTAATGGCATCTGGGTCTGGTTGGTCTGAATGATCCAAAGCTCCATTCATCTTGTTAGCTGTGCCGTTACTAGAAAGTGGAAAAGAAGATGAAAAAGAAAAGGCAAGTTAGGAGACTACGCAGTTTTCATATGCACTAGATGCAGAAGATGATGTCAATTGGCACACAGCAGAAAAAAAAATTGCTATTTAATTAATAGCATAAGTATTACGAACAAAAAACAACGCGATTACATTTTTCATTGAGTCTGGTTTTCTCTGCAGGCTGCTGCTTAATGTCATTATATAAGAAGAGAGCTGCACAACGCAGAGCGGTACTTTTGCATTTTAAAGTGGAGGAGAGTTGCAAGGAAGTGCAGATTTCTCTCCATGGCTGTTGTAAACAGAACTGCAGTGAATTCTCACTAAACTGGCTACTGGCAGAAATAAGACAGTGCTGGTGTGTGTGTGCGTGTTTTGTAATAAAGTCACATGAAAGGAATATGAAACACTTGGCAATCTGTCAGATGACTAATGCAAGATGCCAGCGATGAATTTGCAGATTGTGTGAAGCATCCATGTGTGCATCAAATTAGTATGATATTGCCTAGAATGGAAAACACTCCAGCTATGCGGCTGGATGCTGCCGATTAGTTGCCTACGCTCTTTAAAAAGGAAAAGCAGTCTGCAGAGTGCCAGTCCAAAGCACATTGTTTATTGCACCCTGGCACACAAAAAATGCACAATTCAAAAGGAGAAAGCAGTGGCAAGATTGCCTACTTTGCTCAGGAAACTAAAATGATGCTTCAAAAAGTTTTTCTCCATGAAAAGGACATTAAGTGTTTGAAATTTTTCACACCCCGTAAATTTTTACCCTATCTGATCTCCAGATGTCCATCTAAGTTCAAAACAACTCAACACTTTTGCTGGGGAAAAGCACTTAACCAAAAAAACCCACTCTGTGAGACATATGACATGTTATGATTTAGGAAGAGTTGTACTCTTAGAAGGAAAACAAAACATTTTAAATACTGAACAGGAACACAGAATTAAAACAAACAAACAAACAAACAAAACAACACCTTGTGCCACTATTGATAATTAAGGGGAACCATTTCAATTAATTCTTTGGCTAGCGATTCTGTAATGATGATAGTTTCTTGATGCTTAAATTTCAAGAAAGAACGCTAATGAGATGTGACTTTCAGAGTGCTCCTCCCATCTTCCCACCGGGGAAAGGGGGAAGAAGGCGTGCGTGCAGCAATGCTGAACGCTGATCATCCCAAACTTCAGGCATCTCAGAGCCACCTGCCACTATGAAAAAAAACTTGGCTTTAATTACAAGTTCTTCATTTGACAATTGGTCAGGGCAAATGCCTAGAGGAGAGCTTTAAGAGCCCCAAACCTATATAACTGGACACAAATGATATTATATGTGTGAAAAAATGAAATATAGGAATGGCAAGAAAAAAAATAATCTTTGTGTCATCACAGCTGTAATGTGCAAAGACAAATTATTTAGTCTTCCATGCTTCATCTCCTTGAAAGAACACCACACCTGGACATATTAAATGCCCATATTAACTTTTGCACTTTCCCTACTCACTGCAGGAAGGAGAAAATTATATTAAAGGCAGATTTTAAACCAACAACAAGAAGCAGGATCGTCACTTGTGAAGTGTCTTTAACACTGATCAACAGACAATGGGATTTATCACACTCACTTATGAGACAAAATTCCTATTGATCCTACTGGGAGCCTTGCATGAATAAGAGGCTGAAGGATTTGGCCCAGCCTTTTCTATTGTGTTTCATGCACAAATGCCCTCTCTTACTTTACACATGCTCTTTGTCTGAAGATGCTCTACAGGTCCCAAGCACACCGATGCAGCCATCATGATTTCTCCAGGCATTAGGAGCTGTATTTTCCACACATACTTAATACTTAACAGACAAAAAAAAAATCCCAAAATAACCGGCACCCCAAACTCTAAGAGACAAAAAACCACCTTAACTCACTTGAGTGATGCCCAATGGGAGCAACACACAAGACTTTCAGGGGGTATTAGGCACCTATGTGTCATTTAGACCTCTGGAAAAACCACTCTATTTCCTATTTGTTTATGTAAAACCCAGTGCGTTAAACAACCTTCCCAACAAGAATAAAAAGTAAATTGCAGCCCTATAGCTTAAAATAGCCAAGGAAAATGCTCACACACACTTTTGGACCTGCAAAGATAAGGCTGAGCTGTGCAGCCACCGGCTTTGTCCTGTACTCAGGCAAGTATTTTCCTTCAGAAATCAGCTTCACTTTTCGCTTCATTTATTCTCTGCTTTGTTTACATTAAAAAATGAATTGAGTTCCTTTTTAAATTATGCCCTTCATCTAGTCTCTCTGTTGGATCTCTTCCTTAAGAAATCCACACATAATTACTATGTTAGCCCTAAATTACAGCAGAGGTCATATTTAATAAAGAACAAGTTTATTCCTTTGCTTATTCCTTTACCCACAGCACCTTTACCACCGAGAGCACTACAATTTCCATCACTAACAAGACAATTTGGAGGAAACCACAAAACCTTACTCTTCTAACTGTTTACTCAGGTTAATTGCCCCATTACCATCAAGTTCCTGCTTTGAGCTTGAGGTTCAGGCACAGGTTAGATCTCTTCTAATTCAACACAATGCTTACGCACTTTCTTTACTTCGGTGGGGCTGAAGTGGAATTACATTGATCATATTCCTGAAATGTTTTATTGGGTAAAGATGGTTAAACACCCTGACTGCAGGTGTAGGTTACTGTGTGCTGTGACACAACGCTCCGGGGGACAGGCTGTGTCACTCACTGCCTGAATTAACTTAGGCAAGTCATTAAAACTTCTCCAGCTTTAATTCCACCATCCTCTGACAGCTCTGCCAATCCGCTAACTCCTGCAGATTTAGGAAAAAGCAAGCATAACTTAAGACTTTTCTATATAATTCTTTCCTACTGCAGGGGGCTGGGGTTTTACTGAGCTGCCTACATTTTGGGGAGAGGGATAAACAAGTTGAACCCGTGGAGAGGGCACAGCCGGCTCCTTGTTAAGTTACTTTTCCTTTGACTTCAGTGCAAATGAAAGCTACCAAGCATCTTGGAGGAATGGCTACCCCCTTTGTTGGGGTTTTAAGGAGTGCATCAGCGATGTCACACCAATGGCACTCGCAGGAGCATCCTCATCCAGTGCCAGCAGTAGGACTACAGCCCACTTGGACAAACCAAATAAGTGCATAAAACAATAAGGAGATGACAATTACAAAAAATCAAATTATTTTATATATTTTACAGATCTGCAGAATACTCAAGGAACAGCAAGCATAAAGCACACCCACTTGACGGTTCAGCTATCACTGAGCTTCTCCAGGTCAGTGCAAAATCCAACCAAATATTTTTGATGCCCTCCCAGCCAATCTCTGCCAGAGAGGAGTTCCCTTCTCCTCCCCCAGCCTTCATCTTCACCCGCTGGCAGTTGCTGCCCAGCACTACAACCTCTTAGTCGCCAGCAGCTGTAGGGGTTTTGTTACTTCTCCCTGCCACCGCAACGCTCTCGGAGGAAGCGACTCCTTCCTTCCGCATCTTCCCCTCTCACTTTACCCAGGAAATAACAACACAGGAGAGAAACGATGGATGAAACTTTCTGAGAGGAGCCAAGGCAATCCTTGCAACAGCTCAGGACTACTTCTTGAAAGCACGAGAGCAGAGCTAGCTGTGGCTAGGGGACACTAATGAGAAGAGAATCCCTTGACAATTACTGTCAGTACCCAAATGATGACATACATAAAAAAAAAAAAAAGAAAAAAAAAAAAAAGAAGAATTAGATTATGTGGCTTGCTGTCTCTACACCGCAGCAACCCTTCCCTCTGTGGCCAATTTAGCCCATTGGACTCCAGGGTGACCCAGCACATCATCTTTGCTGACAAGGTGTCATCTGTATTGGAGAGAGCAGCCCGAGGGCAGAGATTAAGCCACTGAGTCGCTGGCTGCTTGTGGTCACTGCCAGAGCATCCTCTCTCTCAATTTGTGCCAATTTTCCTTCTAATAACCTAACTACCATTCCATCATTTCAGCAAGTTGACAGGGCCACTCCTTGAGGAGCCAGAGATTGTTTTAATATCACTGCTGCTTAAACAGGGGCCCCGGCAAAACCCACTGGATGCCTTCTCTGCCTCTCCCATTCATGTCTGTAATTACAGCCAGGCTGCTAAAGTGACCTGACCGCTACAGAGAGAGAGAGGCAGGCTTCAGAAACAAAGTCTGGATCAAAAGGGACCCTCTTAAATTCATCACTGGTAAGACCTTTGGCATTAATCCTCGCTCACTCCCATTCACAAACTAGGTGTCAAGCCAGGTGTTGAAAACCCATTTTTATTGGGACTGAATGGGTTTGCACGACACCGTGTTTCCAATTCCTTCGTAATCCTGGCCAGAACACCTCCCGTTCTTCTGTTTTGCTCAATTCCTCTCGCAGTCCTCACCCTATTTCAGTGGCTTTGCTGTTTTGTTGGAGATTTGCCTTTTCCATGTCCAATGGTACGCGACCAAACTGCACATCCCTGGAAGAATGCTTCATTCCTGAGCACCAAAACGACAATGAGAGCATGCTAAGGAGCAAGCTGCAAGTGTAAAGCTGACTAAATCCAACCTAGCACGGAAGCATCAAGGTTTTACAGCAACAGATATTTCCATCCGAGCTGCCAGGGTACTGCACAAGTTGACTGAAGGGACACCACCACTCCGAAGGACTCCAACCACTGGCAGAAGAGATGACGACCATCACCTCACCGTGCTTGAAAACTGTTAACTGCTGGCTTATGAGCAAATTTTATCTGGAAGGACCCAAAAGGGCTTTATAAACTCATTGTTTAGAGAGGAATGGCTTCATCGTAAGGTGACAGACGGCAGCTGTTTAATGACATGGAGCATTATCGCACAACAATTTCAGCCAGGAAGGGTAGAACAATACCATACCCCATTGGAAACTGCAGGGGGTTGGGATTTAGAGACACAGAATGTAATTACCTAAATTGGATTTCGGCCAGCAAAATGAGGGCCA